CGATCTGGTGCTCGCAAAAATCAATATATAATAATTCACGTAATTAAACGGAAATCGTCTTGTTCTCTTGTATTTCGTAGATTCTAACGAAATTTAATTTGCTCAATGTACCGGCACGAAAATTAATTTTGAAATCTGAACAATGAATCGTGTGGCGATAACTGGCGCGGTAGTCAGCGTGCTAATGTGTATTCCGCTATTTCTCGTCGGCAAATTAGTACGATTTGGTATGCTTCTGGTGAAAGTTTCAACATCGCATATATATATATATATATATATAATATATAATATAATATATAACGATAATTATATATATATATATATATATATATATATATATATATATATATATATATATATATATTATATATATATAATAATAATATATATATATATATATATATTATATATATATAATAATAATATATAACGATAATTATATATATATATATTATATATATATATATAATAATAATATATATAAATATATAATGAAATTTTCTCTATATATACGCGGACGAAACGCGCGATGAATTGAAATCAGATGAAAATTTTTCAGCAGAAACCGAGCGAAAATAAGTAAAGATGTACGGCCTAATATTAGAGAACATGTCCGAGTACATACGGCAAGTCTACGGAGAAGATAGATGGGAGGAGATTCGACGACAGGCGGCCGTAGATCAACCGAGTTTTAGCGTTCATCAAGTTTATCCTGAGAATCTAATACCCAGATTAGCAAAGAAGGCGATTCAGGTACGATTTATGTGGACTTCTATGCGATGTAAAACAACTGTTTCGAAGCTTAGATTATCTTGCGTTCTCAAAAATATTAAATTCGCGTCCCGCGATTTACATGTAGTTGCCTGAAAGTTAAGAGCATCTTGTAATTTCAAAAGTAGTAAATGGTTACTTGAAATAAAGACAAAAAGAAAAAACGATGGATACAAAAAACATCGTTTAGCTATCGACTAAAAAACTTTTCACGTTAGAAGCTGCAACAAGTACCTAAAATACGTAAAACTCTGCAGTTCATTTTAAATATGACAGTCTATAACATTATCGAGCGTGAAAAGTTAAATGAATCATTTGATTATTTGTACGTTTGAAAATATCGTGGATCTTTACAGATCTTTCGTAAATCCTCGTAGAGTAGAGACGCGAGGAGTGCATACGTATAATAGAGTTGTATACGTATTCGGACGCATACACGAGGATGCGTATATGTATATTTTCTGTTCACCGTCTCGAATACTTTGTTCTTTCGTACCAGATATATTTCGATCGATAGATTAAATAGTTGTTGCCAGTGTTGGTATTATATTTCCGTCCAATCGAGTATATTCTTCACTCACACCACAGGTACTTGGCATAACGGAGAAAGAATTTTTCGATCAACTGGGTGTACACTTCGTAGGATTCGTTGGCCAGTACGGTTACGATCGTGTGCTTTCAGTACTCGGACGTCACGTAAGAGATTTCCTTAATGGGTTGGACAATTTACACGAATATCTCAAGTTTTCGTACCCGAGGATGAGAGCTCCTTCGTTTATTTGCGAAAACGAAACACGCCAAGGTAAATACCGACAGCCGTTCCGAATGTAATACTCAATTTCCCAGTATAGGAGTCGAGATTCTACCGAACTTTAAACGAATTTTATTCGTTCGAGCTAGAGCCACGGTTTTCGATGGATCGCGTTCGTTCGACAGCTGAGAAATTGTTGTGACATCTTTTTTACCAGAATATAAGGGAACGTCTTATTTCTGATGCAGAATATCGCAATGCGAATTGATTCGCGAATATTCGGTAAAATTTTATAAATCTGTATTAGAGCTTACCAATTCTGGTCTAATAAAATTTTATTAAAAAATGTACGAGAGCTCGACGATATCGTAAGTCTGGTTCAATGAAATTTTCTTCAATTTGTATTACGAAAAATAACACGAAAATTAGTTAACATCGTAAAATCGTTGTTTGTAAAATGCAGAATTACGAAACCTGGAGGAATTATGATTCGAATTGTGTTTTCTTGTCTACAGAAATCTAGAACCGAGTTCTGTCGTTCTAATTGTAATGTTAACGGTGTTACCAATTTCCAAATAAAACATTTCTCGATGACAGGGTGCGATAAGTATAGGAATTGCCAAGTAAATCTCGTAACCAATCTGTTTCCCTCTATTCCAGGCTTGACTCTTCATTACAGGAGCAAGCGACGCGGTTTCGTTTATTACACGATGGGTCAGATAAGAGAAGTAGCTCGTCATTTTTATCACAAGGAACTACAGATCGAGCTCGTAAGGGAAGAAGTCCTTTTCGACACGGTGCACGTGACTTTCCAACTCACCTTCGATAACAGAGCTTTCACGCAAGCTTCCTTGGCGATGACTCGCGAAGAGAAACACCTGCCGATCGGAGCTTTCGTATTGTTTGAAATATTTCCATTCTGCATTGTTTTTGGGTACGTTGATTTCGATTTTTATCGCGTTTATCGCCATCTATACATACACATATGTGTACATCTACAAGTATTAGGCTAAAATACAAAAATTGTCAGTAGATTACTATATTGCAACGCGAGAAAGTGAATTCCACCGATTCGATAAGTAATTTCGATCTTTACCCAAGGAAAGTTAATTCTACCGATTTGTTAAGTTGTTACGATTTTTATCTAAGGAAATTTTTGATACTTAAAATCTAAATGTTCGAAGATTTTTCTAAAACTTAAACAGTTTTGTTTTGCACCTTTATCAGATATGATTTTGTCCTTCTTTCTTTAAACATTACCGTTCTATTTTATTACTAGATATTATGTTTGTAATTCTCTTTTCAAAATCCCTGTTCCGTTTTAATACTAGACCGTATGGACATTGTGCGTTCATCGAGCATAACGATCGCCAAAAAATTAATAAAATACAAATAAAATACAACCTCGACAAAATGAAACGTAATCGTTTGATAAAAATGTGTACCTCTCGTAGTTTCTGCAGTTTAACGATCGCCCATGCGAATAATTATAATTTCTTTAGGTAATATGAAAATAAATTACTGTTTTTCAGGTCGGACATGGTTGTAAGGAGTATCGGAAATTCGCTGATGGTAATATTACCCGATCTCGTTGGTAAAAAAATCACGCATTTCTTCGATCTTGTTAGACCGCTCATTGCGTTTAAGTTTCATTCGGTAAGCGCATCCAACGAAATTGTCTTCGACTATCCTTAATCCGGTTTCCGCTTTTATTATACGAAGTAATATCTGTGTTACAGATTTTGAACAGAACGAACAATATCTTCGAGCTTGTAACGGTAGAACCGATTCTGACAGAGCGACCATCCGATCGGCACAGGGATGAAATTTTGTTAAGCGACGAGCTTGATTCTGTGGACGACAGAACTTTAAGATTGAAAGGTATCTTTTCGATCAAAATCAGTGTCACGTTTTTTTTTTTCGTCGTATCACTTTCGGACAGGTACAATTGAAAATCCGATAAAAATCTGCTGCGCGATAACTAGACCGTGCACGCTTCTACGCATTCGTACCTTGTAAGAAACCGTTGACATCGATAAATACTAATTTGTATTTAGCGTAACGATCCGCGGTCTAGATAAACTAAAGCTTTCGAATAATATCGACTATACTTCTTCAGGCCAAATGATATACATGGACAATTGGAAGATGATAATGTATCTTGGTACACCCGTAATGCCCGACTTGAACGCCTTAATCGCGACTGGACTATACATAAACGATCTCTCTATGCACGACTTCAGCAGGTACAGTATATTTTTTATTTGTACGTGTATTCCGATTCTGTAAGAGTCTAGTGTACACCTACATCAAGTTTTTTTTATTTTATATAAATTTCGTAGTAGGAAGTTATTGTTTTTCGCAGGGACCTGATGCTCGCTGGTACACAACAATCGGTGGAACTGAAGCTAGCGTTGGATCAGGAGCAATTAAAGAGCAAGAAGCTTGAGGAATCCATGAGAAAATTGGACGAAGAAATGAAACGAACGGACGAGTTGCTTTATCAGATGATACCGAAACAAGTGGCGGATCGTTTGCGAAATGGAGAGAGCCCGATAGATACGTGCGAAGTGAGCAATACGTTTGATATTATTTAATACGTATGTTTACGAGTTATTTGTTAATACTCGATAGAGATTCAAACACTTTTTCGACAATTTAATGAATACACAACAATTAAAACAACTATATTTAATTCTTCTAAATTATGTAAACGCATATATACAGGGTGTTCCACAATTATTTTAACAGCCGAAAATGAGGGGTAGCTGAGGTCATTTGAAGTAACTTTTTCCTTTGCGAAAATGCAATCTGCGGCTTTGTTTACGAGTTATTAATGGAAAACACTGACCAATGAGAGGTGACGGCGCGAAGTTCGAGAGCCCGCAGCAGGAGGCTTTGACAGATGGTCGGGACGGACTCGAGCCGCGTTCGAAGTATTGAACAAATCACGAAGCGAGAATTTCCGGATTTTTTTTTACTACGTAACAGTGATATTTTTAAGAAAAACGCTGTTCACCTTTACTTCAGAACGTCTGAGGAATATTTACTAATTTAAGGACCCGAAATAATAAGTAATTTAACCGTGACGGCCGTTTTAATTTTCTAGTGTGCATGACACCTTGTGTGTAACATATGAAATTTTTAAGCAAGCTGTACAGTGAAGATTAACAAAGTACTTGACATGTCAAGGTTATGTGAAGGTTATATCAAGGTTATGTCAAGGTTATGTCAAGGTTATTGATAATATTCTTCACATTCCTCTAACAAACATATCTCTTACGTCCTTTAACACGATTATTATTTATTAAATTAGCTTTGCGAATCATTCGTTGAACTGTGTTCGGACACGGAATTATTTAAATTAAAATATCATTTACGTACTTTCTTAATCTTCACTATACATACACCTTGCTTAAAAATTTCATATGTTGACCTTGACATAACCTTGATATAACCTCCACATGACCTTGACATGTCAAGGTTATATTCAAAGCTATGTCAAGGTTATGTCAAGGTTATATTCAAGGTTATGTCAAGGTTATGTCAAGGTTATTGATAATATTCTTCACATTTCTCTAACAAACATATCCCTTACGTCCTTTAACACGATTATTATTTATCAAATTAGCTTTGCGAATCATTCGTTGAACTGTGTTCGGACACGGAATTATTTAAATTAAAATATCATTTACGTACTTTGTTAATCTTCACTGTACACCTTGCTTAAAAATTTCATATGTTACACACAAGGTGTCATGCACACTAGAAAATTAAAACGGCCGTCACGGTTAAATTACTTACTATTTCGGGTCCGAAAAATTAGTAAATATTCTTCAGACGTTCTAAAGTAAAGGTGAACAGCGTTTTTCTTAAAAATATCACTGTTACGTAGTAAAAAAAATCCGGAAGTTCTCGCTTCGTGATTTGTTCAATACTTCGAACGCAGCTCGAGTCCGTCCCGACCATCTGTCAAAGCCTCCTGCTGCGGGCTCTCGAACTTCGCGCCGTCACCTCTCATTGGTCAGTGTTTTCCGTTAATAACTCGTAAACAAAGCCGCAGATCACATTTTCGCAAAGGGAGAAGTCACTTCAAATGACCTCAGCTACGCCTTATTTTCGGCTGTTAAAATAATTGTGGAACACCCTGTATATATATATGAGCCGTTTATTTTGTAAGTGGCATAAGTCACTTTACCGTAATGAAAAGTGGTGACTTTTTAATGTTTATACGAAATTATTTATACTGAGAAAAATATCAGTATCGTGAGATAACAAATACAAGTAAATCTTCTCGAAAGTTAGCATCCATATTTTTAAACGTGTTAAAACGCAAACCCTTAAATATATCGACTTAAAAACAAAGTGACTTATGCCACTTTCAAAATAAACGGCTCATATATCTGGGGTGGGGCATTTTAAACAGGTCACCTGAATAACTCGCTTGTTTTTTAAGATAGGAGAAAATGCATTAGACCAAACTTACTTGGTATCGGGGGGCTCATAATCTGGTATTACCAATCTTTCTGTAGGTGGAGACGTCAAGGAGATATGAAGGTTAATTCTGTTTTTTTTAATGGAACAGTAAGTTTTTTTACTTACATTCTGATAGTGTTTCGAGGCGAATATGAAATGAGTGAACTATTATGGAAGTCATTCAAGGTCACCCAAAGTCAACTGTAAGAGAAAATAAATTGTCTCAGAGTACTTTTCGAATACTTGTGTATCACGTGTGTGTATTACGTGACACGGGTCACAAAAGATAAACAACTATTCAATCACATTGTACGCTTATCTGTATCCTCAAACATTATTGATAATTTTAAATGATCTGTTTTAGAAAATAGTTTGAAGAAAAATTCAGAGATTTATACATTTCAGCGAAGGATTAGAAATGTCGTAAATATTTCTGGACTTTTCGTACTAAATGTCATATGGTCATAGTGTTGTGGTCGTTGCATTGGATTTGATCTTAGCTTTTACATTGTGACGATAAAAATTGCACACAAGTAAATAGATGACATTATTTTTTATTAGATTTATAAACAAATTTGTGTGATTATTTGCCATTTTACTGTATCTTAGCTTTGCTTTTCTGTGTCACTTTGGGCGACCTTGAATGACTTTCATAATAGTTCATTGTATTCGTCTCGAAATACTCTATCAGAATATAATTGACCTTCATATTTTCTTGACGCCTCTACCTACAGAAAAATTGGTAATACCAGATTATATGAGCCCCCCGATACCAAGTAAGTTTTGTCTAATGCATTTTCTCCTGTCTTCAAAAACAAGCGAGTTATTCAGGTGACCTGTTTAAAATGCCCCACCCTGTATACATATATGTATATGTATGTATATACATATGTATGATTTTCACCGAAACTATTTATCGCACAACATGCGTTTACTTCGTTTTCATGTCTAAGTTAAAGGATCACATACGATTGGTTCGAATAAAGACACAATTGCGTAAAGTTATCGAATCGATACTACATAAGTAAACGATTAAAAAGAAAAAAACAAAACGAAAAAAAGAAATTGCGATTATACATTAAACTTTTTACTTTTGTCCTCGATGGTTTCAGATGTTTGACAGCGTATCGATTTTATTCTCCGATGTTGTTACGTTTACCGAGATCTGCAGTAGAATCACGCCGATGGAGGTCGTGTCTATGCTGAACGCAATGTACTCTCTTTTTGACACGTTGACAGAACGGAATCGGGTGTATAAGGTATTCTTAGGTAGTTAGAGTTAGCATTTATTTGTTCACATACCGTAGACTCGCGCTTGCTTCGAGAGAATAAAGTAGACGTTTACCTTAGATTTCTCTCACGGTTACATTATCGTATTTACCGTACTCACGATTTATCGAAGAGAAAACAATAGCGAGTGGCAGCGTGGTGTTAGTCTCATCTTTATTGTTTCCAGACAGTCGAATCGCGTACTCGTTCGAATTTCTTTCGCTATATCCTTGAATTGTATGCGATATTTCAATTTTATAAGAAACATTTGTATTATCTTTAAAAGTACATTAATAAATGTCCTCCGTATATTTCCGCTGTAAGTTCAAAAGCAGTTTTCCATTCTTCAGGTTGAAACCATCGGCGATGCTTATATGGTCGTGTCCGGCGCGCCTGTGAAAGAAATCGACCATGCGCATCGCGTATGCGATATGGCCCTGGACATGGTCGAAGCCATAACAGATTTGAAAGATCGATCCACAGGTAGGATTACGAAAAGTATCGCGTTCGAGATTGTAGGAATTTTTCATTTTATAAAATTGTATTAATTTCTTCCACACTTGATCGATGATATTATTGTCACACGTGAGATTTCGACGTTTTTAGATTAACTTATTTATACTCTTGAAAAAATATATTTTTACACCTTCAAAATTCTTCTCCACAATTTCTAATTAATCGATATCTGTATTGTAGCGAAGGGGCGTGCGAAGAAGAAAGATGACCCTGTTGCGTAGCGTGATTAGATTTTGCCTGAAAATATTCAATTTTAAAACTCTAGTTCGCAAAGAATTGTCAAACAACGGTTCGACTACCTTTTTAATGATGTTTAATTACTTTTGTTTTCAGGACTTCATCTTCAAATACGCGTTGGGATTCACAGCGGTGCCGTGGTGGCTGGTATCGTCGGCTTGAAAATGCCTCGATATTGTTTGTTCGGCGACTCGGTGAACACGGCATCTCGAATGGAAGCGACAAGTCAGGCGATGCAAATTCATATATCGCATTCTACGCGAGAATTGCTGTCACCTTCTTACAAAGTCAAGGAGCGGGGAGAAATTGAGGTGAAAGGCAAAGGTAAGAGCGGTGCGAAATTATTAAAATAGTGGTGGAAAGCATATTTAATATTCGATGTAAGATTAGTTTGTTAGATTTTACTCAACGTTGATAATACGTAGAAAAACGATGACTTGTATTGTATTCTTCAAAATTCGTTTTGTTATTTAATAATAAACATTGTTTCTGATTTTCGTCTTATATCGACACGAAGAATTATCTCTTAAATTTTTCTCATCCGACCTTGACGAATCGTTTCGAAGAGGCTATGAATTATGCTCGCTCCGGTGCTTCAGGTACAATGAAAACTTACTGGTTGGAGAAAAGAGAGCACAGATCGTCCACGACGAAAGGTATCACGATCCAAGAACCACCGCAATGGCACGCAAGAACCATCGAGAAAAGACTGTCGGCGGGAACGTCCGCGAGCTTCGTTTCTGCGACTATGTTTAGTCCTCAGAATTGTTTGGAGACTTCGTCTAGGCGAGGTTCGAAGATAGCGTCGCCGATAGCCGTGGATTCGTCGTATCTTCCCGAAGAGAGGAGAATTTATTCGCCGATCACGTTTCAAGATGTGGCGCGGAGATCGGTTGCCAATTCGCCGACCAAGATTCCTGACACGAGAGGTGAGGCAGTTATTTATTGAATAACGTTTATTATTAAATAAATCATAAAGTTTAACCTTTCAGTTACTACATGCAACGATAAATGCGACGGACAACGCTAAATGTGTGGAATAAGACTGTATCGATATCTTCAAATTTCAGAAATATTTCAATTACGATTAATCTGATATTTTCAAATTTTTTTCACTTCTTTCGATCGCCCATAATCTCGGTTACCCGATGACAATTTATAATTCATTGAACGTAACTTCATTTCTTTCATTCATTCGTTACCAGTTTGACTATTTCCTTAGCTTATTGTATAACCTCGAACGTACAATATTGTAGAATTACCATTATAAAATCGATAGATCATGAAATAAAAGAGGAATTTTCTAAATGCCCCCCCCCCCTCCGACTTACTTTGCTCTGTTTATTATCTTTTGCTAAAAATTCTGGATCTGTAACATATGTATTTTTCATTCTTTTAAGATTTTTCAGATTTTAATTTAATCCTTGATCCTCTCTCGTGTCCTTTAAACTAATAGCATGAAATACGATTTGCTTTTGCCAAGAATGGTTTGTCTCCTCGGGGCATCCATTTTAAATTAAAAAATATCGTATCTTCGATACATTCGAAAGAAATCTCATTTCACTGCGGATCTTTATGCAAAATGAGAAAATTTGAAGCTTCCATCGTGGGAAGAAGATTAATCTCGGATCAAATAGAATTGCCTACGATGTATCTTAGACGGTCGGATATTTTTTTTTTGTTACTGGAAATAAAATGAATCTTTTTCCCTCTTTCTATTTTATAGAGTGTAGATCGAATTCGATGGGCGCTGTGATCACCAGGAATATGGACCTGCTAAATTCCCTTCTGAACGACACGGAGGAACACTTCCGACATCACAGAGATAGTCTGTCGCCGCGTGCCGAGAACCAAGCGGTTCTGGTACACGCGAAACCGGAGGTGAACGTGAGCGTGAACGCGAGTTCGAGCTCGTCCTCCGAGGAGTTTCGCGAGGAAAAGGTTCGAGCGACTGTTCCGAAACGAGAGAAGAACGTGCCTTGCAAAAAGAGCAAAGAGAATCACGCCAACGCCCACAATTCGCAGTCGCTGATGCAACAGGATCAGTGTTGTCCTGGGTTCAGTATGTCGAAGAGTGGTAAAACGCGTCATCAGAATAACGGCTGCATCGTTGCCTAATAGACAACCGATACTTATTGTTTTCGACTTATCTTACCGACGAATCGAGTCCGATTACGGTCTTGAAATAGAAACTTCTCGATTCAACCTCGGCCAGCGAATGTCGAGTCGCGGGAGATCCATTTATATTAAGTTTCCGATGTTTCCTTCAAAAACGTGGCATTATCATAATTTCCATCGTTTTCAAGTAACATTGTTCGATGCGAATTTTAACTTTTTTTAGCTCGAAAATCATCGATTCGGAGAGAGGCGTTTATGTAATTGTCGACTATATTTATATAACGGATACGATAATCTTGATATTTGCAGAACATTTTCATTTTAAATAACTATGTTTGTAATATTTGTTACGGTATGTTGGAATCGACTGGTTTCATAGTTCGTTGTTCGAGGTTCAATGAATCGACACACGTTAGAAGTAAAAAATGTCAAGTACTTATGGAATAGACGTGGAACTTTATACAAATTCACGTTTCCGCGGACTTCTCTCGAAAACGAAAGTTCTTCATTGTTTCGATAATAGATTCGACGAAGAAAGAATGAAATATAAAATGGTGTAATTTACAAAATTTCAAGTGTACGTATACTTATACGCTACAAAGATGCGCCAAATGCATAAAGATTTTACGGTGTACTCGTGAATGTCAAGGTTAATTATTCAGCCTCCACAGTTCGTTTCGTCGATTTTTTTTTACACGAAAGCAAATGATTCGATCGATTAGGTTCGCTTGGTACTCGTAAAAACGAATTATTCGTTCGAACTCGGTACATGTAAATCTCTTTCAAATATATTCGAATCTCGACAATATCGTGCATACAGAGGAACGTATGCGCATCTGTGTTTCCTATAACATATACATACGTATGTGTATGCATGATGCGCGAAAGGATAGTTAAAACATGGAGAAGAATTAAATTCATACAAATCGTTCGAATACGCTGTAACCGAGTTCGAGTATTCTCAAGATCGAAGTTAGATCGCCTGTTTTATTTCAATGAAAATCTAATAATTTTTTTATTGCGACGAACATATTCTTATTCGTTTCCAGTTTCCCTACAATTAATTTTAGTAAAATTATCTTTTACATCTCATAATTCCTGCTTGTCAAAATAACTAGACAGAGGATTCGAACATGCTCTATACTTCTAAGTTTTAATTTATTCTTCGAAGTAATTAAAAATGGTCCAAGCATATTGGTAGAAATCGATGACGCTTGTAAGCACTGATTTTGTTTTTCAAATTACTTAAATAGGATTCGAATCTGTGCCATCTCGGTTTCGATTCTAATACCGGCTGCGATAGATTTAATAAAAGTTATCGCACAGATAGCGTAAACATCGACGGCAATTCGATATCGGCTAGTAATCGAAGTCGTTTTAACAAATAACGAGACTCTCTGAGTTTGTAAGAAGCACGAGCACGATTGTATACCGGGAGCAACCTGAGACTATCGAAAGATGAACTGCGCTTCGTTAATAGGTACTATTCCTGGACACAGCGATGGTATTGTGCTCCCAACGAATACGTATATCGAACAAGGGAACAAAGAAACAAGTGTGTAGATCCGGAGAATAACGCTTTGGTCGCTTGAGTTTATAATTGCGGAGCCGATGGAAGAACTGATTTATCCAATCAAACTGATTTCGGGAATGATCGTCTCGACAGTATAATAAATTTGTATAAGTACAGTCGGACAGTATACATATATAAGTTAATGCATGTGCCACGTCAATTTCCCTGATTCGATCATCGCGAGACCACACATTTTTTTTTAAATTTCATTTATAATCGCTACACTGTAGTAATGTAATGTGTATCCACAACCTAAGATTACAAAAGGTCGTGTTCCTATGCATGTCTGACCGTAACGTTTAATCGGATGCAATAACAAAATACATATATAGATGTAGTAGTAAGCAGAAAGATGTCGACATCAAAATTAGATAATTAATATAATGGTCGCTATGTGTTTGTCAAATTATAATATGCTCGATTTATAATCAGCTGCAAGTATCTAAAGTTTCCAACGTTCGCTACCGACAAGAGTTTATAGGCGACTTTCGTTTAACGCGATTAAAATTCGTCTTTTGGGCGACAAAGTGTCTCTTTTCCGAACGGACTAATTTTTCGGTGTTCAAATTTGTTGAACGGAATCGACAATTAAGCGGATACTATTAACGCGGCCCGCAATTATACAGAATTACATCCTGAAGTGTCTTAACTACAAGGTACCTATCCTCTGCAATTTAATCGTACTACTGTATATATACAAACATGTCTTCAACAATCGAATATAATTTACTTAAAAGAAACACGGTCGTCCTCTATTCCACTTGTGCGTGACCAAGTCTGTGCATTATGACCTGTAATAATGAATTGAACGAATCCGTGCGATCGGTTGCTGTAATTACTGTTTCCGTTTTCATTCGCGTTAACTGTCATCGTTCTAACCGATACTGCCTGATCGTTTATTTAGGCGCGACCATTAGCGAATATTTTTTTTTCAACTAGGACTTAAGAAATTTGAAGAGCGCAGCGTCTAACGAACGTTGTCTTTTACTTTACCGAGGTGTCTATAGCGTTGTAGAAACAAGTACCGTTCTTTTGCATTGCTCAAATTCCTTTGTTAAAAAGTATCACGGTTATCATATTTTGTCAGTCTTCTCGTTGTACTCTCCGGTTTAGAAATGTTATGCCGCGTATTAATTTAAATGATGTTGTAAGAATTAATATATGGATAATAAATATATTACACATTTTCGATTAAACGAGAGTGTTTACGCCTTCCCGGAACATGCTCCGATCGTCGCGTTTTATTCGAGACTGTCATGATAATTAACAGAATTACGTACCCGATCTTTCCTCGGCGCTCGTTGATGAAAATTATTCGATCGTTGCGAAAAATTTGATATTCATGATTGGCGACAGTTCGATCGAGAAGAGTATAATACAGATATGTATTTTCGTATCTTCTTAGAACGCAGCGGAGGTTTTAAGAATGGTGGCACATACTGGCAATGATACGTTCCGACCTACCTTACGTACCGCATGTGTAGTAAATGAGCGTAAAAGGGGTAGAAGAAAGTAGGAAAATCGTCATCTGTCGTTCATAGATGATTCACAGTTTCGTAATTGTGGGAACTTTGAAGTAATCCGACCAAAATTTTCTATGCACAGACGACAGATTACCGAAGAATGAAAAAGCACCTTGCGGTATGGGATTTCGTTAGGAATTATTGATCTTTTAATTCGTCGTAATTGAACCTTTGGCTCCGCGCATCGCCTGTTCCTTTACTCTACCTAATAGCTTACGCGAAGAATCGAGCGAATCAATTTAGGATAATTATTTTTCGTCGACCCTCAAACAGAATATGTAACAATGCTTCCTGCAATCGACGCGGACATCTCTCGCGATAAGCATCGAGCTCAGTTTTGAAACAGAAATAACCAACGAAGGGTCGAAATGGAGAACATGGAAATTTCCCAATACGAGTATTTAAAAGTCAATAGGTATTTGTTATGTTGCATAGGACAATGGCCTTATCAAACACCGTGGTCGAAGATTTTAGTTGGAATAGTGGTCCTGCCATTGGTCATTACTCAAACTGTTTTTCAGGTATTGCAATTTTATGCTGAAAGCTACAAATGTTTTAAACGTTTCCTTTCTATAAGATTTATACTACGTAAGTACTGTTGTTCGTAACGATTCGGAGATAGCTTTAAATATTTGATAAGAATATATTAGTTTCTACGTTTAGCTAAAATTAAAAAAATTAACATTAATTTTTGTTGGTGAACGTATTATACTTTCTGTTTGTTTCAATTATATTGGCTCTTAATTGTGCATATTAACTATTAGAACACATCTAAATCTACCTGTAAATGACTCTTGCCGTTTTTGCTGTAAGGTGCAATGTATTTGCAATTAAAATTTCTTCATTGAGGCGATATAAAAGAACTATAACAGAATACTGGGATGAATTGAGACTACGAATATATCTTATAATATTTAAAACTTCAAATTGCAGTGTAAAATATATAATTTACAATAAAATAATTATTATATATAAAAGTCATCGGCGCCCCCCGGAATATTCGGATAAATATTGGAATAATGCTACATAGGGGATGCGGATATAAAAAGTATCATAAAATCCGACAATTCGGAGACCAACAAAATTTCTGAACATAGAGGAATGTTCGCAAGATTTTTTGTATAGACACGATGTCAATATGATTATTTATTCTTGGTAAATTAATTCGTAATGGTAAATTATACTTGGTAAATTATATATCGTGTATACGACGGCACGAATCGTGTGCTTACCGAAAATCTACGAACAGCGCCAAACCACATAGCGGTAGAATGCTCGAACTGTTCAACAATTTAGTTTCGATTCTCTCCGCTAGATGACGGATTAACTCGTAAAATCGTAGCGCCCGTCCGTCTCTACTTCCCGCCCGGGTGCTACCGTGAGTCGGAAACCCCTGTGCGATCTTAATGTTTCTTAACCGAGACGCACGCAATTATTAATTAAGACTAGGAATTAATTAATAAATTAGATGATAAAATAGCCGAGGGACCGCTTAACAATATCCGCCAGCAAAAGAAATTAATATAAATAGTAACCAATTTCGGATAATTAATTTATTAACCCTCGGTGAATGCGATGTCTTTGTGAAAAATACCAATTGTAAGTTGTTGTAGTTTTATATATAGAATGAAAACATTTTCAGGTTGGCGGTGTAATAGCTGCACAAAGAGAGGGTGACATGGATGCGTTCGCGGAAGGTTTTGCTCCTTCTCTCATTAGTTTCTTTTGTATTGCGAAATATACAAATTTTTTTAATCGTGAAGCGGTACGTTCTTTCAATTCTTAGTACGAACAATTTTAATCGATTTCATCGCAATGAATTCGATCCTTACTACAGATGAAGGGTCTTTTAAACGTGATGCAAAATGATTGGAGGGCTTGTATGAAATCGAAAGAGGACTATGAAATTTTATCTAGTCAATACGCGCTGGGCAAAAGAACCACAATTAGATATACAGGTAAAATTATTTCGTATTTTGTATGTATACATGAGCCGTTTATTTTGAAAGTGACATGAGTCACTTTGTTTTTAAGTCGATATATTTAAGGGTTTGCGTTTTAACGCATTCAAAAATATGGATGCTAACTTTCGAGAAGATTTACTTGTATTTGTTATCTCAGGATACTGATATTTTTCTCAGTATAAATAATTTCGTATAAACATTAAAAAATCACCACTTTTCATCACGGTAAAGTGATTTAAGCCACTTTCAAAATAAATAGTATAGAAAAATGACTGACATATATTAATTTTGTCTGACGTATTTTACTGAAGTGATGTTTTGAAAGGACAGTGATTTACTAAAATTGTTTAATAAATTACATATATAATAATAATTTATACCATGAACATATTTAATATAAAGGTTTGATTTAAGTATTTTTTATTTTAATATTCATAAAATACAAAAATAATTGGTACATTTTGAAACATAAGTATAAGTAATTTATATGAAAATACATCGGTTCAATTTAATTTTCGTCATCAATAGGAGTGATTAAGTCCTCGGAAATCGTGTTTTGTTTCAAATTTTTTAAATAACTGTGGTATATTGGGGGTATATAATTAAGCAAGTCCATCATGTCTTTGTATTTTGCTGAAGAAACAGGACGAGATCCAGCGTATAACGGATCCATTTCTATTTGTGAATAACGCCTAGGTCTTCCTCTTTTTGGTGACAAATCCAAAGTTAGAAATTCATCTTTTTCATCCAAAGTTAGTTTATAAAACATTTTATAGCCATCTGCTGTCGGGTCTGGAGGTAGCCGCCACATAACTATAATATAATTTACAAAACTGCACTATTCTTTCGCACTTATAAAAATAAGTCCAGTGATCACAACTTTTTTAAAAATACTGAAAATAATTCAAAACAATACTTCGCACACACTTATCACACGTTTCTATTTCTTTTACACTAAGTCCCGTAATTAATTTCCTGAGTACAGCGACTTACGCCACTTTCAAAATAAACATGTTTGTCATAACGTTAATTAGCAAAACTTCTCTCGAACAAATCTCAATAGTTGATTGCAAATTTTTTAAAAATGAAAAGATACCGTTCAATTGTAATTAGTGTTACCATTAACTCTATTTTTTTTGAAAAAGTGACTTATGCCACTTTCAAAATAAACGGCTCACGTGTAGGTTGCGTGAAGAAACACGCTTTGAAACTGTCGCTAAATTACGGTACGTGGAAGCTTGCTTTTTCCGACCATCGGTTGTTTTTCGAATCCAAGTCTAATATATCGAGTTCGTTGGTTGAGTATCGATTAATGTCGATAACTGTAATAAAATTCGTATTTTTGTCAAAAAAAAAAGAGAAACAAAAGGAAAAATAATAAAGATAGTTTTCTTGGTTTTATCGAAAAAGATATTGAAACTCTTTTTTTCTATTCTTTGAACTAAAATGTTAAATGAAAAATGTAGTATGAACGTTATCCGTAATTGCAAATCGACAAAGTAATGAAATTATGTTTGCTTGTGTAGCATCGTGATTATTCTGCCGGTTTATATGTTACAAAGAACAGAATATTATTCGAACTATCGTTTAATGTAATTACATTAAAATAATACATACACGAATAATGAACGTATTAATTAATACGTTGATTGCAGCAACAATATACGGATGCATGTTGCCTTTCATGGTGATGCCAACCATATTGACAGTAATTAATAAATTAAACGCTGTCAATGGAACTTACGAGCGACTGCTGATGTTTCGTGTAGAATCTTTTTTGGACGTGGAAAAATATTACTTGCCTCTTGCGCTACACAACTACGTCTGTACCATATCATTCATCAACATAGCTGTGTCTTGCGATTCGATGATAGTACAATTCGTTCGGCACGAGTGTGGACTTTGTGAAATTTTTGGGTAATTGTGCAATAACTGATTAGGGAGTGTCTTAAGTGAAAATATTGAATAGCTTGGAAAATTTGCGGAGTCTTCGATTTATGATTTACTAAAATATACGTAATTGCAATATAAATCTATTCTATATATATAAATAATATATAAATCTATATATATAAATCTATTCTACGTATAAATATACGTAAGAATATTAATTTGAAACGGTTGCAATTTGGATTTGACGCATGCAACGAAATTTCCAAGCAATTTAATATCATAGCTCGGAAGGATCTATACAAGTTTTTTATTCTACATACGATTGAGAATGTATTCGACTAATCTTTTCGGATTTTGCTTAAAAAATAAAGCAAAAATTTAGAATATTCTCGGACAGAATTTAATCGTATAGCAAAAGTGTTTACGCACACCCGCGTGTCTTATGAAAATGAAGGTAACGCTATCGATTCCTTAACTACTCGGTCGGATTTGGGTGGTCGTAGTTACAAGGTTAAATGTAATTAACGATACGTAGCAGTTTATTTTTCCTTATATTCACGATATACGGATGATTTAAAAAAAATAGGAATATAACGTAACGTTTGAATTTTTGCACGACAATCGACAAGTGCCGATTGTTTAATATCAATGAGTTTTGCACATTTGTACAATTATTTCTCAATTTAGAAGTCGGTTCGGCCGAGTAAAGACATAAAAATCGTTTAGCGAAGAGAAGAAACGTAATATTATTTCTTTGAGCGATACACAGTGATTTGGTACGATGAAACAAAAGCATGCGTATTTGAATCTGATATTGGACATCCCGATATGTCCAATCCTAATATCGGACCTGATCTTGGTATTGGACATCCGATAGTACGAATCTTCGAATAACAGGTGTAAAGCAGATAATAGAGTTCAGGGAAGGTTCTATAATATATATATATATATATTATACTATATATATAATAATATTAATATTATTATATATATATAATATAATAATATTTATAATATAATATAATAATAATAATATATATATATATTATTATTATATTATATTATAAATATTATTATATTATATATATAATAATATTAATATTATTATATATATATAATATATAATATATATCTTTCATTTTAAACGAGACGTACGGTGCACGCGTACACTTTTGCTCGTCGCTGTAAATCGATATACATATGTCACAATCGTAAAAGATAGAACTTGAAGGCGTATCTAATTCTTTTGTAAATTTAACAATGTTTAGACGTAGATTACAACACATTCTGGAAAATAATAATAATTTGGATATAGAATTGTATCCTAACAAACGGGACGACGTAGCCTATCGAACGCTGAAAACCTGTGCAAAATTACACGATCACATATTTGAGTTAGTATTGATTTCTTCCAGTTTTTCTTTCGCATTTATATCCGTTAGCAAGCGCAACCGAAACTTGTTCTAACTAAAACGAAAATATTGAAGATTTGCTCGAACACTTGAGTCCACGTGTACGATATCTTATTTCTTCCAATTAGGATTCAACATGGTCAGTGTGAGCTTCAGTCAGTTTCAGGTCGGTTGCAATTCGCGTAAACAAATTTAATGAATTAATTTTTTTCAGCAATTATACAGCTACTCGTTGTTTTTCCTTTTATAATTAGGCGATCGTGAATTTAAACTCACCGAGCAAGAGTTTCGGATACGCTTCGTTGTCGGCATGCATGTTGAATTCCTTGCTGTTCCTGAGCCTGCCGGCGCAACACTTTACGGACGCCATTGATCGTATCTATGATTACTTGTAAGCAATCCGTTAAAAATTTACAAATCAAAACTTCTTTTACCATCGTGCTTGTGTCTCAGCAATTTCAGTGAACAGCGAATGCCCCGGTATTTCGTTCGAAGCGTTTTATTTCTTGTTCGTTTGAGATAAAAGGACAAATATCTTGCTGAAACTTTCGATACGATCGCAGCAGAGTAAAACATGCGACTGTTGTATATTTCTACCTCGCTTAGCCTCCTCATGTTCAATTAATTTCAGATCTTCGGGCAAGTGGTATCAATTCTCTTTAGGTGCCAGAAAGCTTCTACAGATTATGTTGTTAAAAAGCATACGACGCGTAGAACTAACCGCAGGCAAGGTCTACGTTTTCAATTTAATGAACTACAGTTCGGTAAGATGTTATTTTCGTTGTAATATGATAATAATAATTTTTACGATGGTACACGATAATTGGTCTGCACACTTTATGTATCTCTACTATATGCTATTTCATTTATTAGTTCGTGATTTACAGTTTAAGGGAGGCCGTTTAGACGAAAATCAACTATCGATGATGTCACAGATAAAATTTTGGAAATATGCATTTTGATAGCATTTTTTACGTTTATTCCAATTATAGTTTTCGAGCCGAATTTTTTACCGCAGTTTCTGTACATAATATCGAAAAGAATTGGGTACGGTTCTTTTTCCATCCGATCTTTTTTCATTAAAAAAATGTTTTATCAACAAAAATACTGGTTGGCAAAATAATTTTCTCATAATTCGAATCAGCATAAAAAATGCTATCGATACGCGTATTTTCAAACTTTTATCTGGGAAATTATTGATAGTTGATGTTCTACCTGAAAACGCCCTTCCTTAATTTACAGCAAAATCGTACTATAATAGTGTTCGTTAAAACGTGTAATTATGCTTACCGTTTTTCAAGATTCTCCAAACGTCGTTTTCTTACTGCATGGTACTATGCTCGTTTCAATAATTATCATTTGATAAACGAGGACCGATGCTTGGTAGTTGAATGGACATGTACAAAATGGGGCGAATGGATCTACGTGGACGAAACTGCACTGTAACACCGAACGAACATATTCATATAACTACAATAAAACAAAGCAATTCTCAATATTTTTTAGTATGTTCATTTTTTATCAGAACAATTTAATGGATGTTTTATGTTAAATGTTGATATAATAACTGGAGTCTTTTTATAGCAATTAGATTCTCTTATACGTATAGAAAATTATTTTTTACGATAAGAATTCGGATCGTTATTCACGAGGTTCTTAAGTTTGTAAATTTCCATAATTACAAACTTTCGCGAGCGTGTATTTTTAAATGTTTCGTTCGCGAAGCGGCGTTTCTAGAAATCTGACGGCGAAGTTGTCGGTAGGTAATTATAATTATGAATCGTACCAGAAATTGATAAATAAATTTGATAGGTATAAATTGAGACAAAGCCATTAACGGGCCATCCATTCTGTGCCCTACGGCTCTCGATGTTGAAACATCGTTTCTCCCTTCGCCGATTAAAATTGGTTCTTGACGAATAACATCGTGCACAGTGACGAGCGTTAACAAGTTTTTATCGACGTTCGAATGACTTCTTCAATGGGCACGGACCAGAAATCAATTAAGTTCGGGCGGAGGTGGGACGCGTGCCGAGTGTGATAGATCGGTGTTGTCGTTTTCTGCGTCGACAACCTATTTCTCCTGGAAAGGAATTAACCCCCAGGAACCATATGGCGCGACAGGCGTACGATACGATTCGGAAAACGTGGAACATCAAATTTGCTATCTTTTGTTCGAGCGGCACCGAAGAAAATTCTGGACTGTAAAAGCAAAGTCTGCAGACTCGAAAAATGTATCGTTCAAATGCTTTTTTTACCTCTTAACAAAAATTATAGAATCGAATTATTTACAGTACCTTTGTTACACTTGCGTCGTAATCGTTAATATGTATATTAACAATTTATCGTTAGTTTCTTGCATCATGATTTATTGTTGGACCAGGATTACCTAATATCTTTACAGTTCTTTATATCGCACTAGAAAAAATGAAACAGATAATTGTATTTCATATTTTTACCACGTGTCTGACCGAATATACAAGATACAAGAGGAACGATAGCTAAAATGAAAAAATACGTCTCTTCGTGAAAGAATTATTTGCATCTCGCGTGAACGAAGAACAAACGATAGAAAGTCGATAAGTATGAGTAAAGGGATCGCTATGACAAATTTTTCTGTAACAATCGATGTTGCAAAATCACGGAAGGATAGGTTTAGTCTCTGGTGCATCGATATCGGATTGCCGTGGACGAGCCAGAAACGACGACTGGCTCAAAACTATTGTTCGCACGTGAAAACAATTGTCGAACGTAAGCGGAAAATGTTGATATATCGTTAATCGCGTCAAGTATTATTTATAAAAATGCTGTCGAGTATGACGCGCTGAAACGAAGCGCGTTTCACAGTTTCTCTTGGAACGATTCGTGGATCGATTTAAAAGACACCACGTATCGCTGATTAGCAATTTCATCGCTTTCTTCCTCGGGTTAACGGACTTCGGTCCTAGGAGGGACGATGTCTTCGCGTCCCAGTGCTTCCGAGACAGTTTTTTTCTCCCCTTAGTCGGTACTCTTTATCCTGCAATCTCCTGCACTCGGCGGGGTAACACCTTGCAGTTCCTTTCGTCATGCGCCCCAGTTGCTCGCTGGCGCAGGGCACGCGCCGCTTCGGCCCAACAGCCCCTTCCTCGCAGACCTAGGTCCTGCTGCAAGATGGCTATCGCTAATTGTCTCAAGGCGATTTGCCCCGAGTTGCGACCGTTGTGTTCCGTCAATTTTTCTCTGTTTTTACCGAAAAACCTCCGCGCGATCCGCGTTGTAAAATTAGCCGACACTCGTTGTCCCTAAGAATACAATTTTGGTAACTTTTTATTATTATATTATATATTATATATTTTATATATATAAATATTATTATAATAATATATATAAATAATATATATATATATATATATATATTATATATTATATATTGTATATTTTATTATATAACTTATTATTATTATCGTAACATTTCCCATGGAAATGTCTTTAACCCTTTGCAGTCGAAGCTATTTGAATTCGAAATCCAGAACATGATTTCTGATCTACAGTATTTCTATTTTATATAATTTATTGCGATTTGTGCATGTGAAATTGGGCCTATTGGCAAGTACAATGGAATTTTAATAGCTTCTTTTAAATATAAACGAGTTTGATGCTTTTAGAATGATTTTGAAACATAGTATACCAATTTCTAGTGGCGCCGCAGAGTCGCCATTCGAGTGCAAAGGGTTAAAATTCTCATAATTGTAAAATTGGAGGCCGGTCGTTCGACAGTGGTAGGTTTGGCATTAAAATCATTGGACGTTGCGATATAGTCGACAACTTCGCAAAGACCAACGAGGAACGTCGCTCGGTCGTTGATCATCGGTTTTTATAAAAGCTTGCACTCTACGGTCCATCTCAAAAAAGGATTCGACAAGTATCTTTTTGTCGATGGATAAGTTTAGGTTTAGGAAATTATTATTAGGAAAAATTACATTTTCAATCGAGATTGCCGCGATAATATGATTTACAATACTTGCCGATGCTGTACCCGAACCGTGGAATATCATCGACTACACGTGTCCGGAGACGTCGATGCGCGTCGCGCGAGTATTCCGTTTCCACTTTATTTTCACTTCCTCCGTCATTGTTCTCTTACGCGTTGGATAAGATGCACGTATTACACGCAGTTATTATATTCTGTAGCTTCCATTATAATAGCATCTGTCGCCCCGTCGAAGCGAACCGACGAAACGGAGAAAGTCCGCCGGTGTGCTCTGTGTAAGTGAGACAAAGGCTGGAAAATCGGTAATTGGAATTAAATTTTCAGCGTGAAGCCCAACGTCGGTTCGAAAAACTTTCGAAAATTGTATCGGTCGCATCTGCTGGAAAATAGGCTATAAGATGCGCGTATCCTCCATGCGCGAAGAAACGTAGTTCTGGCGCTAAGTTCGGTGTACACGTATTGTATCGACGATACGCGAAATAAGTTCGGAAAAGAATTACTCGATCTGATAATAGAAAAGTAAGTTCGTTTTCAGATAAACTTTTCGACTCGATAAACGTTTCTTATTGTTAAGACTTTACAGCATAAAGAGAAGCATAATTTGTATCGAACGTCGGTTTTTGCTGTTATTTATTATGAAAATAAACCATCTTCGATATTTTGTACGATTAAAATTACAATTTAAACGTACACATTATTTAATGTTTAGTACATATTTACGTATCTATTACATTAATACGATGGAAAATGAATAAAAGTATTTTCACTTCAAACTAATTTTATCGGGCTTCGATTTCCTCTGATGTTTCAACGGAGAAACAATCTCGATTAATAGAATATTTCCGAATACAAAGATAAATGGAGGAAAGTGTGTTTTTTAATCGGAATAAAAGATGTACGGTGAAAAAGAAGATTTAGTTTGCTGCCTGTGTGCTTTGTAAGGAGAGAAAATGCAACTGAAGAGGACTAAACGAAGAAAACTGACACGCGCAACAGAAGTCGGACGTTTCTCGCGCAGGACATGTCTTACGTAGTCGTCGAAGTCACTGGACTTACACACGAGAACTGCAGCGAGGGAAGAGATTGCGTTTTATGAACCGAAGAAGAATTCGAACAACGCGAAAGATTGCTCAAGATTGCTATGCCAATTAGCAATCGCTATGTTACGAATGTTGCTATACGACATTATTTATGTATAAGGCGTAAAAAGTCCCTCGAACAGTGATAAAGGAAATGAAATAAATTAATCATCTTATCTTCTTGAACAAAATTCTGTACTGATACGGAAATATTGAAATACAATGTCTTAACAAACGTGTCATTTGACAATGAATTAGAAGATTCGATACAGCAGATTTAATCTTGGGCATACAAAACCCAAAGTGTTTGGCTAATATAAGTTTAACGTCGACGAAACGACAAACGTAATTGAATAAAATCTGAATAAATCTGCAAATATCTAATTCTTTCTCGCCAAGAAAGCGACGGTATCTAAGTTACGAAAAGCAGTTTTAAAAAAATTGGCAGTACAGTGAATTCTGTTCGATCGTCCTTCCGCTTATAAACAAAAATGGACAATTTTGGAAGACGAGACGCGACGATCGGCGACTAAAATAAAAACGTGGCATAAAGCTCGAATAATCGTATTTGCTCTTTCAAAATTGTCCATTTTTGTTTACAAGCTGTTGGGGAGAATTTACTGTAACCGATTTCGTAAACTCGCATTCCTTTAAGCCTTTTAACGTCGTTCGAGTTGTCGTCGATTTTCCAGGACGGGAATTTAAATCCACGAGTACTCGTTGGCCGGCCTCTCCGTTATCTAAATCAACAGGTACACCTTCCTCCCTTCGGGAAGCGTCGTCTAGTTTCTGCGTACGCGGAACAGATAACGCTGGACACAGGAAAGGGAAGAAGGAAAAAGCGAGCGTGTCGGTGGTGGGAAGCGGTGGTGGCGATGCGGCACGCTTCGGTTCAGGGTAAAGTGATATTAGACGAAGAGGAGGAGAGGGTAGCTACGGAAGGAGCACGAACTGGCTACCAGGTGCACCTATAGAATGGACATAAAACGAAGTGGGAACCATATGTTGATGCGCCGAAGGACGCACGGCACGCGCCACACTCAAACTCCAGCCTTTAGACCGCGAAGATCGGCGACTTCTTGCTGTTCCTACTGTTGTTAAACCGATCGCGCGATCTCTGTGTCCGGTGCGCTCTTACCGACGCGATCTCCGCGCGGTACCACCGGTACCAAAAAAGGAATAGCGAACGAAAATCTCGTCGAGACGTGTTCACACCGAGTAACAATTCCGCGAGTTGCTAAACGCGAGTTCGAATGTCATCGAGTTGTGTTATTTTCCACCATGCCTTAAGCTTCCACCGAAGATTGGGGAAAGTTCAAGAGCCAGTTCAAGAGCCTTTTAAACATTTTCACAATCATATGAAACGCCTGTGAGCATAATTTCGGGGATGATCGTCGTTTGATGCGGCCCGATCGTCGAAGCAAGCGTCGGAATTATGGCCCTGACGACGAACCCGCGCGACTATCCGGTGACCACCGCGATGATAACGACCACGTACTCGGGCACGAGAACGTTCGATTCCTTGTACCCCTCGCCGTACAATTCCCCGAGCTATGATTCCGTGAAAATCCCGTACGGCGAGAACTTCGGGCACAAAGGTGAGCACACGCCGCGGAAAGAGTCGGAGCCGGCCGGCTACGAGAACGAGGCGGTTCCGAAATACTCGAGAACCCCGGACTCGTACGACAGGAGTTCTTTCGGTGTGTTGACACCCATGACACCGCAGAGGTAAGTTCGAATCTCGATCGGTCCGGCCGTTTTTCTTTTATTTCTGCTGCGCGCGCGTTATTCGACGCCTCGCGTCGCTTTCTTGCCTTTCGTGCGACGCTCGCACCGTGACACTGAAAGCACTCATTTTTTACAACGTTCGTTGCGTTCGCGACGAAAGAAGGCAGATTAAATTGCTCGTAATGCCATACATTAGCTGATCCTGTGGTCAACGGATGCTCATGTATTTCCATTCAATTTCAACAGGTACGAACCACAGCACGCGATAAGTCACACGGTTTCTCCCAGGTCGATGTTACACGAAGAGAACTCCGTTGAATACGTCCCCGCGGCTTATTGCTACGAGACACCACCGCAGGAACAAAAATTTCAGATGCTTGAAAAGAGCAAGCCGATGCAGATGATCGCCGAACCGCGCAGGACTTGTTGGGAACCTGTCGCGTCCGCGCAGGTGCGTTGGAGAAAGATCGGCCGCGCTTTCGCCTTTCGTTCATCCTAGTTTTCTATTTTATCGTTTCGTTTCGTTGCAAATACATTCGGCCGTGAAAATGTCGGGCGTCCGTCGGAAACAGATACCTCGAATTTCTGTTCGAATCGACCCCTCGGTTAAATTGTATTCATTCCATTCGTCCATTTACGTTTTATCGTGAGGATCGTTTCGTGCAAGTATTTTTTCTTTTTTTTTTGGTAGCGCGCCAGGATCGATGCGAAACGAAAAAAGTAGCGAAGGAAATGTTTTTGTTCGTTCGCGATGAAGATCTTTGAAGAATCTAAGATCGGATTTACCGAATACTTTCAGAAGCAATTGTCGCCGACGAACAGCCCGCGGCGTGGAAGACGACGATCACGGGACGTGCCACCCTCGCCGAGCGTCTTGAAGCGGCGACGTCTCGCGGCGAATGCGCGGGAAAGACGCCGGATGAACGGTTTGAACGACGCTTTCGACAAATTGAGGGAAGTCGTCCCGAGCCTGGGTGCCGATCACAAGCTCAGCAAGTTCGAGACGTTGCAAATGGCGCAAACGTACATCGCGGCGCTGTGCGATCTTCTCCAGAGACACGATGGAAAATGGCAATAACGAAAGTAGGTCGTTGCAATGGGTAGGAATAAATGTTGTTCTGCCGCTTGTTATTTTATTAACCCGTCGACGAATTTTATTTTCCGATGTACGATCGTTATTCAACTGTTACAATCGCTGGTCAGCCGGACAGCGATTGTACAAGGACATATGAGCCGTTTTATTTTGAAAGTGGCACGAGTCACTTTGTTTTCAAGTCGGTCACTTGGTTTTTAAGTCGATATATTTAAGGGTTTGCGTTTTTTAACACGTTTAAAAATATGGATGCTAACTTTCGAGGAGATTTACTTGTATTTGTTATCTCAGGATACTGATCATTTTCTCGGTATAAATAATTTCGTATAAACATTAATAAATCACCACTTTTCATTACGGTAAAGTGACTTATGCCACTTTCAAAATAAACGGCTCATATAAGGTCGATATTGCGAGGGTATTAATAGAGACTAGACTGAATCGCATAGTATGAAAAGGATCTTGTGATCGTTATCGAATGAAAATAACACGATATAATATAATAAAAAAACGTAGTCGTAATTTAGCAACTAGAGACGCGCTTAGTTATCGTTAATCGTCGAAGATTAAATTGTAAGCTTTATGTATGCGCAACGAAGATGCATTTACTTTTGTAATATGTTTTAGAATAGGATAAATATTTATTGTAGGTTATAATCGGCATTGCGCGATTTGCAACGAATTGCAGAATATAACTTAAAATAATGCACTGGAAATGATGAAAGTGTTTCTGTGTGTTCGAAAGTCTCGTTTTTCATTTAGGTTTTTATATATTTGCACCGCGTATACGTGCGCGAGCGTTAAACTGTAAACGGATCGCGTGTAAATATGTAGCCGTTATTTTCAACAAATTCCAATCGTTTCCGCGATGTATGGATCCAAAGATTAGGGGAACGCTCGATATTATTGAATCTAATTTGAGTAGGGTGTGAAATTATTTTTAAATAAGCGGCAATCTTTTTATGTGTACTTATTAATACCACGATACGACTCGGTGTTTTCAATTCCTATGTAATACTATTAACGGAGATCTAATCAACGTATGTTCGAGTACTTTTGTTAGAATAACCGACCGAGCGCGTGATAAGTGATAGTAGAAATGTAAAAGGATAGTGCCATCGATGCTCTAATAATTATTTATATTTAGGATTGGTCAGTTGGTAGTCGTGTTGCGTTAAGTTTTACAACGGAGTTCTGCGAAGCGTTACCATTTAACAAAATTATTACAAATATTCAAACGGTATAGAATATTTAACTTAATTTTAATCCACGTTCGATCGATAAGGAGTTAACTAGTCAAGAAGTTTTGATAATTATTCTAAGAGAAGATTACGGCACATAGTCGGTTTCTGCCGTCCATTACGATATTATAACACGGGGCCAAAGAAGAATTTGCGACGCGACACCGTTAATAACTCGATTTAATAAAGCGACGTTAGAGTTATACGAAGAATCTTAAATCACCGATGTCATAAGATATTGTAAATAAAGCATTGTTTTGCAACCGTGATATAACAACGCTATTATTCTCGATTCCTTTTCCGCATAAAGTTAAATTATAATCAACGCGCGTTACGTCAATTTTTCTGTCAAACGATTCTTCTCAATCGTTTTCAACGTTTTCACTAAAATCCTTGGTAACATTTTTGCTTCGTAAGTCGCAACGATTACTTTTCATTGTGGCATGTATAATAGATGCCAATAGATGTAACCATCGATGCCCCGCTTATTGTTAGTCGGTAGAATACTGTCCGAATGACAGAAGGGTAAATTTTGATCATCGGCGTAGATCGACGAAACGAGCGAGCAGAGCGATTCTAGGCATTTGACGGTTCTAAGAGAATCCTTTTGCTCGGAAAACGATCATCGAGCGACGCCCGAACGATAGAAAGGGGTTGCGACAGCGATCGGTAACCCTTTTCCATGCAGCGAATTGGCAAGTGGTCCGTGGAAAAACGTTCATTTCGGAACACGTGGGCGGACAGCGGCACGCGTCTCACAATAGAGCTCATTATCGTCGGTTCCGCGCGATTTTCGTGTTTTTCTCTTTCATCGAATGGTCGGTCATTCAGCTTTCAGTCGTAAATGAGAATTTTTCCCCGATGTTGAACAATTAGACATCACCGATTTCTGAATGGGTGTAACCTGTTTAAGAAACGAAACGGATACCGTTGAATTTATTTTCCGCGATTATGAATGCATCAAGTAATGAAATGTATGTATTTACACGTATATTCACGAAAGTTTTTTTTGTCAATCGGTTCGTTGGCTTTGTATTTAGTCGCATTCGTTGTAAGCGTATAATACGTTATCATGATAGACACGATATGAAATAATATTTACCGCAGTGTTAACGAAATTAGACGCTATGAAAAGTTTAGGAAACAACTCCTTAAATACATGTATTACTTAAATACGGTACTAGTACCGTTATATTTACAATTCGAACAAACTATTGAGTTGGCAACTAAGTAATTGCCGATTTCAGTTATAGATGTCTCTCACTCCCATTTTTATGATATCTGTAAATGTTATACTATAAAATTATTATTATTATTATTATTATTATTATTATGTTATCTTTTATTATCCATGAATGTTAGCTACTGGACAAATTGAATGCAGCGGTCAAGGAAAAGCGACCAGAATTGGTCGATCGTAAAGGTGTCATTTTCCAGCAGGACAATGCTAGGCCGCACACGTCTTTGTCCACTCGGCAAAAATTGATGGATATTGGTTGGGAATTGATGTTACACCCACCATATAGCCCTGATCTCGCGCCATCGGATTACCACTTATTTCGATCCCTGGACAACTCCCTTCGTGG